GACATTCTATTTTAGTGAATTTCTCTGAGACTATACATGCCACAGTTTTAAGTCTAGCTTTTCAGAGATACTAAATGTTTGGATGTTTCACTATGACCACTCCCTCTCCTTGGTCTTTAAAAATGGCTGACATTCATTTAGTGATCAAATGTAACACCCTAATGGAAATATGATAATATGTTGTAATTATCTTTTAAATCTGACTAATTGACAAATTGTTTGTCATAAATCAACATCTCAGGAAAATGTTATGGGGTTTCAAATCAAAATATGACCTTCTGTTATGAAACAGGACATCAATTTCATACATGTCCACTGTAGAGGACACCAGGACTTAAAGCATGTTTATTACACATTTTGGGAGGCACAACAAATGAATAGAGAAGAAATTATATATCAATTGATTTCTGGTTAAAACAAAAATCCCACTCTTTTTGCCTTTTCATGTCTATTCATGTCTTTTTATTTTTTTTAAAACAGGACTTTTTAAAGCCCCAATGTCCTCTACAGAGGACATGGTATAACATATGAATAAAATATCATTTTTCAAAAATTTTATTTTTCAAAATTTTTCTTATGCTCTAAACAATGTAATGACATGACAAAGTACTAAATTCACAAAACTGTTTTTTTCTGGTTCATGATAATGTTTTGCATCACAGAACAGTGCAGGTGATCAAGCTCATCATCAGAGGTTCAACTGAGGCCTGCATGCTCCGAGTGGGACAGGAGAAGCTGAAACTGGAACAGGACATGACCACTGATGGAGGTGAGTTTCAACACACAACCTCTGTCAAACCCACAGGTCACAATTTACAAGATGAACCTCAAAATACCCTCCCTTTATAGTAGCAGTAGTGGGTGGTATAACCAAAATCTTATCGCAGTACTGTATAGTTCATTGTGCCAGAATGTCAATGAAAAATGGTTTATATATTAAATAATTGTTTAAAGGGGTGGTTGACTGTTTTTTTTTTTTACACGCGCGTCTATGTATAACGCTTCTCATAACTATGGTATGTGAAAATAAGTGTATTCACTGAGCTGATGATCTGAATGAGAGAGAGAGAGAGAATAATTCTGGGTTCTTGACGTAACGGACCTGGGAAGTAACTCGTAGTCCCTTACCAGTCGTTTTTGTAGGCATTAAACTGCCAGAATTTTAAAAGACGATATCTCCGTTTGCATTGAACTTTCAGCTTCGTAACTTTGCAGATATTGTTTATGATCAAACAGCAACATTGAATTTCTTTCTTTCTTTTTTAAATTTTTTTTTATTTGTTTCCCCCTTTTTATGTATTTGGTGTATTTTAAATATATGTATGTGTGTGTTAAGTGTTGTATATGTGAAGCACCACGAAAGTCTGAATTAATTGCCCCAAGGGGATTAATAAAGCTCTAAACTAACTAACATTAAAAAAGTGAAATCGCAATCAACCACCCCTTTAATTCCAATTTTTGGATAATCCAGTGAAATAAATGTATTAAAATGGAGACTTTTATTGTGGTGGTTTTACTATATTATCAGTTATGTATCTGGTTTTTCACTATAGATTGAATGCTCTTTAATTCTTTTTCGCTCTGTTCAGATGAGGTCGGTGCTATAACTGAACAAATGGCAGAGCTGCTCAAAGTCTCACTGGGCCTTTGAAACCTGAAGAATGTGAAAGTCAGAGTGGTAGTTGACTGTACATTTCCCCCCACTCCTCAAGAATAAACACCGCAACTTGAGACTGATTTGATGTGGTTTTGGTAAGGACTAGCACTTTTTTTCCCAATGTCCAAATATTAGAAGTCAGTAAATGCACAGGAGGTTGTGTTACTCAGGGATCACCTGAAGTACCCATGTTAATATTCCACACTGGAGATCTATGTCATATGTGCCTGAAAGACTGTACCTCACCTACCCAGCTCAGTTTAGCCCACATAGGACTGGTGAGTTGGTTCCAGATTTGTGACCTTGTTGACTAAAGGCACTGCTGCAAATAACTGGTTATACTTGTATTTTAACAGTTGTTGTTTAATGTGTATCTCCTTGTATTGTGTTTTCTAAATAAAGATAATGCAGTAATTTCCTTAAAATTTAAGATTTTTGATTGTTGATGAGTATTGCAAGTTGATTAGTACTACTGCCATTAAAATATTTGCACACCAATTCAATTCAAACTCCTCAACATTGGATTAGCATCGTCACCTTTATTTATATAGCACTTTATACAATACAGATTGTTTCAAAGCAGCTTTACAGCGATAAACAGGGAAAGGATTCAGTGATGCGAACAGAATTCAATTCTGCTGAAAAGCAGCTCTAAAAAGACGATAGTAAAGAGTTATTCAGTGGAAATCAGTTCATTGTTGATTCGGTTCTGTTCAGTAACTTTAAAGTTCAAATGTGGAATGAGTTTAATTAATCTATAAAGCAACTTTGGAGTGATGTCATCCAGCTCAGTTTAGTTCTCAGCCAATAGTGTCTGTGCAGTAAAGTTAATAATATTAAGTGTCCCCATCTAAGCAAGCTAAACCGCATCAGTGGCAAAGAACCCAAACTCCATCAGTGACAGAAATGGAGAAAAAGCTTTGGTAGAAACGAGGTTCAGTCAGGGACCAGACGGCCAGACAGACAAACATGGTGTGATTTAATTCCAGGGCATGTCACAAGTCAGATTGTGGATTGATATATTTATATCATCCATAATATTTCATCCAGTTCCTTCTTGAAATTCATGATACATTATGCCAGCATTTGGTGGGGGTATTTGAAGCTGGCCATAGGGTCTGTGCAGAGGACTGGATCCGGGTGACTCAGACCTCAGACAGACAGACTAATATTAGCGTAGATGCCACTCCACGTAGTACTGAGGTGTTAAACCATTAAGAGCTTTATAAGTAAGCATTAAGATTTTAAAATGTATACAATGTTTAAAAGGGAGCCAATGCAGTGTTGACAAAACCAGGCTAATATGGTCGTACTTCCTAGCTGCTGAGTTTGAACCAGCTGGAGTTTGTTTATTAAGCCTGCAGAGTAGCCACAGAGTACAGCATTACAATAATCTAGACTTGAGGTTGTGAATGCATGAATTAACTGTTCTGCATTTGACATTGAGAGCATATGTCGCAATTTAGATGTTTTTTTTTTTTAAGATGGAAAAAATCTGTTTTACAAATATTAGAAATGTGGCTATTAAGTTAAAGATTGTTATCAAATAGCACACCCAAGTTCTGAACTGACAATGTAGACTTGACAAAGCAGCCATCAAGTGTTAGACACATTGTTCTAGGTAGGAAATTGCTATTCATCAGGTTTTTTATGTCAACAATGCCTTCCGTTTTTGTGAACTGGTATGTTTCGTCAGGCCGCAAAGAAATATAGAACTAAGTATCATCAGCATAATAGTGTTTCCTAATAATATCTCCCAAGGGTAGCATGTAAAGGATGAAAAGCAAAGTCTTAGTACTGAGATATACTGAACTTATGATAAATATTAGTTTCATTTACTGCAACAAATTGATGATGGTCAGAGAAGTACGATTTGAACCATGTCAATGCAATTCCACTTATGCCAACATGATTTTCGAGCCTATTCAAAAGAATGTTGTGGTTAATAGTGTAGTGCAGCCAGTTTGAATGTTTTTGGAACATAGCCTAATGACAATGATGAATAAATAATATTAAGAGGATCTACAACTTACGGAAGTATTGAAGTATGACTTCACTCTGATAGTATTAATCTTGTAAATGAACAGGTACACACCCTAGTAACTCAAATTTCTGCTAAGAAAAACCTCTGCAGTACATATGTTAATATAAATAATTTAACCCTCATACGTCCCATTGGGAAACAAACTGGTGAAAGATCACGTTTTACAGAGTCACCTGAAGAACAGATGTATTATTACAAGACAACATATAAAAGAATTGTATATTTTTGCTTTTGATGTGTTATCACTGCTCGCACTACAATATAAGGTTACTTGTCAAAAATGAACATGAAACATTCGAGTTGCAATTATTTTATTAGCTTCTACAGCTTCACATTGTGATACATGACATAATAAAATGACTTGTAGTAATCTTGTAAATACTGTAGGTTAAGATAAATGTTATCTTGTGTTTTTTTTTTCTTTCGCCAAAAGGTTCAGAAGTTACAAGTAAAAATATCAATTTTTCATATTTCCTGACCACTAGGTGGCACTGTCCGTACTGTGCTTGTACCATCAGGTCATGCTTGTGATGACAGTTACCAGACTCTGTCTGAACGCTAAAGCATTGTGGAGAGACAGCCTCAAGACCAATCTACTTAAATTCCATATCTGTTGCCAGCATGGTCTGTCATATCTTTGCTCCTTCAGGGCTTGGCCCCTATTAATAAGAAAATCCTTACAAAGACAATAGGGTTCAGGCACCTTCGCTGCTTGGACCCCTAAAATAATAATGAAAATGTGAGTGATGCAAATGTAACCCTATTTTCCATAAATGCACTACATTTAATTATGTAAAAGTAATATGCAGAAATATTCCTACAATGTAGGCCTTAAAGGAACACTCCACTATTTTTGAAAATAGGCTAATTTTCAAACTCCACTAGAGTTAAACAGTAGAGTTTTACCGTTTTCGAATCCATTCAGCCGATCTCTGGGTCTGGAGGTAGCACTTTTAGCTGTAGTTTAGCATAAAACTCAACTGTATAACTCTAGGAGAATTGGAAAATTTGCCTATTTTCAAAAATAGTGGAGTGTTCCTTTAAGTTTGTGGCAAATATCTGCTACACCTGGGTCCTGTCAGGTGAGCATCACAAGAAGCCTTGTAGGTGAAATAAAAGATGCCTCTAACTGACATCTGTGGGAGTGAGTCCCATGCTCAGGTCTGACCACACATCTCCCCACAAAGTCATTAAAATTTACATCACTGTCCCAAACCTCAAATTTTAGTTTGACCAAACTCAATTGATCCAAAATCAAAGATGGTGTTCCATACTGGATTGTTATTGTCCATAATCACCTCCTCATACACACCATTGTACCAGATTTTCACAAAACCATCGGTGGCTGAGAAGTAATCTTCATTCATGCCTGTGGCACTTCGCACCAATACTACTAACTTGCCACGGCCGGCTCACATAGGACAGCAGTTGTGGTCCAGATTTTGTGTTTGTGAGCATCCTTGATTCTCCTTGTGATCTACAGGAAGCATGTTCTCTTCAATATACTCTGTTACTGCTCTTTTTAGATTGGCACTAACCTCGGGATCAGCCACCAGATGATGGAGAGGGAAAATTGCATATGATATGACCTCAGGATTGTCATGCAGGCTCATCATCCAGTTCGAGTATGCTTCAGCTGGGCTTTGGTTTAAAATTAGGTCTGGAAAGTATTTCTCACCTCCCAGCACCTCTGTCTTGTGTGTCATGAAGCCCTGGTAGAATCCCATGTTCATGTTATCTTTAAGGATGTGAGAGCATTTGTTGGAAAGCGAGACATTAGCTGGCAGGAACCCCAGAGTCATCTTTAACTCAATGTTTAGGCAGTTCTTGATATCAGTCTCAGAGAAGCCCTTCAGGGTTGCAAGACAAGTTCGAAAAGCTGTGACCCGCCTCACTCGCCCTCCCAGATGAACTTGACGTATGTAGTGAGTGAGGTCAAATTAAATGCTATAGGCCTTATCAATGTTATCTGAAAATGTTAAACCTATTCATCATGCCATTTTTATTTGGAGTCTTCTTTTGTGTGTTGTTTGTTCACCTGGATAAAATTAAAACCATTCATCATCTATTTTTCAGTTTATGTTCTGTCCTTTTGTGTATTGTTTGTTTATCTGTTAATAATTACATTCCTTTAAAGTTATGGAAGAACGCTAAAGTTTTCATTTTTTTAGTTTCTATCTACAGTATGTTACAGAAAGATAAGATTATATGTACGTGTCCAACCTCTGTTTCCTTTGGGATACCTGTCTCTATAATGTACTTAGGCTTGCTTTTGCAAAACACTGGGAAAAAAACAACAACAAAACAAAAGACCACTATTTTACATTTGATTTTATGACAGATTTTTTTCCAAAGTAACTTTCAGTGCATACAATTTATAGCCTATAAGACATTGTGTTATTTAATAACTATGTGTGCTCCCTGGGAAATGAACCAGTGACCTTGACATGATAAACACAGCGCGGAATTTCATGTTTTATGTAATGAAAAGTCATTGTGCACGATCTTCATTGAACCAGTAGACAGTTTTGTTTTAATGAATGATCTGTTGCAGAACATGAAAAAATCGTATACTTTTCACTTTGCAATACATAACCACAATCACGCACCGGAATAAGATCACCGAAAGCAAAACTATTTTCTGCAGTAGCAGAACAAATGCAGTAACAAATCTTCTGAAATCTATTAGTCTTAAAATCTAAACAAAAATAATAATAATAATAATAAAAAAGAAGAAATATTCACTATAATTACTGGAAATATTTTACAAAAAAATAATAAAAATGATTATTTTTTCTATACATCTCTGTTTATGATATGATGTCTCACCTTTAACTGTCTAAAAAGCAATATGCCGAAATATTCTTTTTGTATAAATTGTTCTATACAAATACAAGGTCTTATGCTTTTGGTGAATATCTGCTACACCTGGGTCCAGTCAGATGAGCGTCACAAGAAGCGTTGTAGGTGAAATACAGGATGCCTCTCTTTAATTTACAGCTGTGTGAATGAGATCCACGTTCAGGTCTGACCACACATCTCCCCACAAAGTCATTATAAATGACATCACTGTCCCAAACCTCAAATATGAGTTCATGACCAAACTCAATTGATCTAAAATCATAGCTGATGTTCCATTCGGGATCATTATTGTCCATAATCACCTCAGTCTCCTCATACATGAGGTTGTACCAGACTTTCACATAACCGTCAGTGCGTGTGAAGAGATCTGCTTTCAGGCCTGCTGCTCTCTGCACCATCACTACTAACTTGCCACGGCCGGCTTGCATAGGACAGCAGTTGTGGTCCAGATTTTGTGTTTGTGAGCATCCTTGATTCTCCTTGTGATCTACAGGAAGCATGTTCTCTTCAATATACTCTGTTACTGCTCTTTTTAGATTGGCACTAACCTCGGGATCAGCCACCAGATGATGGAGAGGGAAAATTGCATATGATATGACCTCAGGATTGTCATGCAGGCTCATCATCCAGTTCGAGTATGCTTCAGCTGGGCTTTGGTTTAAAACTAGGTCTGGAAAGTATTTCTCACCTCCCAGCACCTCTGTCTTGTGTGTCATGAAGCCCTGGTAGAATCCCATGTTCATGTTATCTTTAAGGATGTGAGAGCATTTGTTGGAAAACGAGACATTAGCTGGCAGGAACCCCAGAGTCATCTTTAACTCAATGTTTAGGCAGTTCTTGATATCAGTCTCAGAGAAGCCCTTCAGGGTTGCAAGACAAGTTCGAAAAGCTGTGACCCGCCTCACTCGGCCTCCCAGATGAACTTGACGTATGTAGTGAGTGCCATAAGTATCTATAGTCCTTCGGTACAGGGCTTTTGATTCCTCATCATATTGTGTCGGAAGTCGCCGGAGATGTTTTGAGAATTCAGTGCTGAGCTCTGGGTGGTCTGTGACTCTGTAACTGCAAATGATCAACAAAAAGTCATCTGTCAGCAGATTCTAGTTGTGGTTTCTAAATAAAACTGTAATTTGCCTCATGTTTCATTTTTCAGTGTTTTTGACAGTAATTTTGTCAAGGACGTGATAAGAAAGTACTTATTAAAGCATGCTCTGGGTTTGTTTTTCAGATAAAATTGTGATTTGGCTGACTTTTCAAGTGTTTTAGGACTAAATTGTTTGGTCAGATGAGGATTACATGCTAATCGAAGCATCTTTAAGATAAAGTCTCTTCCTCATAATACGCAATCCCAAGTCTCACAAGGAAAAGATGCACTGATATTAAATTATCTACCTGCACTGGAGCTTCCTTTTAAAGATTGTTTACATTAGGAGGTTCTAACTACATTAGGATCTTATGAGCCTTGAAATATATGACTGTCTCTGAATAGCCTACAAGAATGAACTTACATGTAAAATTATAACTTTTTTTAATAGGTAAAATAAGGTAAACTGCAATTGAGCATCTGTTTTGTGTATCTCTTTGGATTCAACATGTATGAATTCCATATTTCATATGAATAATTTGCATAATAGAAGACAAACCCAAAGGAATTGATTCTTTTGAAAAAATGTTAACATCAATTGCTTGTAGTTGCCACCTGCTCTGATATTTTGTTATCAAAGCAATAACATTCAGCTGTAGAGCTACATTATGTAGGCCTAACTTTGGGCCCTCTAGCCCTTAAAAAAGAAAACTACATGCATCTTGCGGAATAACTTTGTTTTGGTTGCGCTTTGGCTCTGCTCGTCTGTCAAAATCCACCCCACCAGTTCTAAAATATAAAACATTATAGTTTCAAAGTGTATTTGGTTAAAGACATGGGTTAGAACAGTGGTTCCCAACCTGGGGATTGCTAAAGAATAAAATAGGGGTCCCCTGGAAAAAAGGTTGGGAACCACTAGTTTAGAAGATGGTTTTTAAAAAAATCAAAATAGTTACAAGTGTCCAGATAAGTGTCTAGTGTATTGTTGCCATTGCCAAAATGGATTCGATTATTTGATATATAATTTGAATCGAGTCATTTTGACATCTTAAACCTTACCGGAGGCATTAGCCTTAAAGGGATAGTTCACCCAAAAATGAAAATTTGATGTTTATCTGCTTACCCCCAGGGCATCCAAGATGTAAGTGACTTTGTTTCTTCAGTAGAACACAAACGAAGATTTTTAACTCAAACCGTTGCAGTCTGTCAGTCATATAATGGTCTACAATCTCAATTAGGAGAGTCAATGGTCCATTTGAGAGATAGGTGGCGGTAATGCACTTATAAGTCTGCGATCCGCCGTAAAGCAAGAAGAAGAAGACGCGTCACCTGCCGGCTGTTGAGAACGCGCTCAGGACAGTTCGACATTGCGGTGAATCAGAGGTAAAAAACGATATAAATACTGTTCAGTTTCTTGCATCTTGCATTTGATCGTTTCGTGTCTTTACACATCAATGTATGGTCACGAGCCGCAGGGTTTAATTTGGTTTTATTTGTGTATGTTTTTTTGACTCTCAAAGCCGTGATTCCCATTCACTTCCATTATATGACTGACAGACTGCAACGGTTTGAGTTAAAAATCTTCATTGTGTTATACCGAAGAAACAAAGTCACCTACATCTTGGATGCCCTGGGGGTAAGCAGATAAACATCACATTTTCATTTTTGGGTGAACTATCCCTTTAACAGACTAATTTAAATGTTATTTAGGAGTTCTTAGGTTTAATTTCGCCCACCGTGGACAAGATACATGAGACCGCTAAATAAATGCAAAGTATATAGCAAGATAAAAATCATTAATTGTATGTGCTTTCTCAGTTGACAAATCATCTAACAACATTGTATGCATGTTCAGAGATAATGAGAGACAGATTGTCATCATTCTTTGGAGAAGTTACAACAAAAAATCATTATAAATACAATGCAAAATGAGTCATAAACTCACATGGAATTACCTATAATATGTGCAGCTGATTTCATGGACGGCAAATGTTGCCTTATCCATTGCATTCTGAGATTGGGCAAATTTGGCAATATCTGAACGGCTCCCTCCAAACATTGCTTTTCCTATGTCATCCAGGCTAAGATCCATTTCCCAGTTGTTATTGATGAGTGATGTTGAACTCTTCATTAGGGAGTCAACAGAATGATGAAGAGCACTAGAAAGCTGTTTGCTGCAGCGGCTGAACGGACGCCAGTCCCGCACAGCTGAGGGAAGTTTCTGCATCTGCCCTCCCTGAAAGCGGTTCTTGCAAACGGTACAAGTGTCATTATCCATGTGTGACTTGACATCAATCAAAAATGCACCTTTACGGCGCATCCTGACAACATCAAAGCCTTCGCCCACCAGGTTGTAACCAGGCACAAATGGGGCTTTCTCACATTCTACCTGAGAGCCTGTGTGGCAAGCTGAACCATTGTGCCAGTGTGTCAAGATCAAAGAAATGCAGATAAACACGTGGAAAACACAATGATTTGTCTCCATGATGATTTCTAAAGGGAAAATGCAGAGGGTTCAAATGTAATATTTCATTATTTCTCAGATGGAAAAACGTTCATGAGGCAATATACATGCAAAGAAAAAAGAAAAAAAAGTAAGAATATTATTGTAAAATTACATAATGAAAGTCCAGACCCCAGAGTGCAGTGTATTTTTATGGCACTGAAATCTGCTAAAATATCTAATCTGTTAAAAAAATATCAGTTTTACCCACCGAGAGTAGCTTTCATGCAACAGTCTATTCCAGCTGTGTTACACCACCATATTGACCTACTTCAGAAAAATCCTTTTCTCTGTTCTTCTTTCCAAATTACAGTTTCTTCATGAAATGTTTTTGCTGTAGATTCACTTTCTGGAATGCTAATGCTGAAAAGGAGCACTGTGTGAAAGCCTGAATCTATGGCATTGTGTCATGTGGAAGGGAGTGTCTTCCTTTCAGGCCCTTTCTTCTGTGCTGGACAGATTTCATCCGCTGACTGGTTTTGTTTTGATTTAGATTATTTTTATTTTTTTTGTGAATACCAGCTGTGCAGTGGGGGAGGGTTCTTGTGAGACTTTGTATGAGGGAATTGAGGGTGAAGTGCAAGGTTAAGATTAATCAAACAGGACATGTGGATGACAAAATGTAGCACACATTTTCTTTTCACTTGCAGTTGCATGTAAGACAATGGATATCATGAAATTAAAATCATACTCATTAGCACATTGCATGGGAAAGTGTTGGTCAGAAGATTTTGGATATATAGGAACATATCCAACATATATGTTTTTTATATAAAATATTATTATTATTATTATTATTATTATTATTATTATTGTATAGAAAATGTATGGAGGAAAATGCCAAATTTAACATTACAACAGTCCATGTTATTGCCAGAAAAATATATATATAACGATTAATTAAATTAATTTCATGTCAAACAGAAAGGTGTTGGATGGGATTTTTCAGTCAGTGAGGTTACATCATTACGCCAGTAGGTGTCTAAAGTTACTTTTTGTTTATTATGAGTGAGTCAACGAATCAGTTTGTTCAAAAACACTGATTCATTGAGGAACGGATTGGAGTGTTGCGCAGAGTCAGAGACGGTCGAAGGTCCGTAAAATGTAAGTTACTTTTACTCGACAATGGCGTGTTTGATTATAGAATTCAGAGATTGTCGGGGCGTGTTTTTCTGAAGGACTAGCGCTATAGAGAACGCGCCTGATTTACAAAGCGCGCCTACAAACGAAGCTTACACTATTTGGCCATGCTTGCTGTGTACAAAGTTAATGGTTTAAATACATCCGTCTCTCTATTTAAATAGCCATAATGTAAGTGGAATAGTGACAGACAGTTGGCGTTGGACTGATCTGGATTCAATTCCTATTAAAAAAATTACGTATTATTGTGTGCCTAAGTAGCCTGTACGTTTTCCCACAATGATCATTTTTAAACTTTTCTTTCGCATGAGAGATATCCTGTCCAGATCTGTAACATATCACATAAAGGGTGATCATGTGACTCTATAATAACAATAATAATAATTTGATGTTTAATAATATTTATAAAAATGTATTATTATTTTTTGTGGGGTCATATGTAGCCTATTAGGTCCACTGTTCATTTCTACCCACTGGTTTTGTTGTTCACTGTGTGTTGTGACTTATAAGAAGTTGAGATGAAACTAGAAGTCGGTACAGTAACTTGTTAAATGGAAGTAGTTATATTTAGCTATAGGTCTATATTTGGTATGACCAGTTAGATGATTGACTTTCCTAATTCCTGTTATTTTTTGTGTGTGGGTGAGGTGAAATGAGACTTGGAAGACATTACGTCTTTGAATAATGACTGTTGTCCAGAGTAACACCGTTTAACTGAATACTCTGGGCAAACCTTATTTTACATAGCAATGCTATCATTATGCTTTCATGTCATGCAAAAGCAAGTTAGAGCTGATAGTTGGCGCCATCTTGAGTATGAAAGAACTTAAGATAGAGAAAGACAAGTAACTTAGATTTGGAGATTGATAATGATATACTAATGTTGTTACACTGTTTGTCTTGTAGCTTCTACTAAGAAAAATAATACATTACAATCACCCTATAGCAACAAGTACAATTATAATGTAGCAGTAATTTAAACTCAGATTTCATGTCCTTATATTTATTCACAATCTAAGTCAGGTTCGTGATCATATTGCATGCTGAAGTTAATGACATTTGCTCAGTCTTTCTTTAAGAACTATTTATTAGTCACAAAAGCACAAAAAGAGAGACATACACATATACCAGTAAAAATAATAAAACAGTTGAAAATCATGTTGAATACAAAGCCCTTATGTATTTTTCCTCAGCTGCTCTAAAAGTAATTCATTTCAGAGTATTCTTATTTCACAACAATCTGTAAAATAGACTTCTGAAACATTTAAGGTACAGTCTTTCCTCGCACTTTTTAATATATTTTTTCTTTTGTATAATGTTTTATGACATTCAGCTAAAAAAATATTTTTTTTTAGGTTTATTCCAATGCTTGGATTGTTAGTTGTAAAAAATGCAAACATCAACCTCAAATGGGTGCTCGACTAAAAAACAAGTGGAGAAATTAAATATAAAGTCGGCAACACCAAAGCTCCAAAAGTATCAAAAATTTATTAAAAAAACTTTCGCATAGCGTATGACGTTTCGAGCACGCAGGCTCTTCATCAGACTTTTCGTTAGTTGTAAAACAAATGTAAAAAGTTGCCTTTAAAGAATGTTACTGCTGCTGCCAACTATTTCTATGACTAATCATATTCATTATAACATTATAACGCTTAACTGTAAATCTCTGAACAGTCATCTTAAAAAGATTATGATAGTAGAGGTTGAGTGGAGTTTTCATTAACATTCTCATTTGGTTGTTCTCTCTGAATCTCTACACTGCTCTCGTTTTCACCCTCACCATGGATCTCTTCATACCCTCTGCTCAACCTGGTGGCAGAAAACCTCTTTCTTCTTTTCATTATAAACACCGTTCCTGCAACCACAAGAGCAACCAGAACCATTACACCAATGGCTACACCAGCCTTTTCTCCTCCAGACATCTGAGAAGATGATGTGTCAAACATTGATGCCATTTGATTAATTTCACCAGGCTTTGCCAGTCTCCACATCTTAGTTTCTCCAACTCTCACCCAAGAACAATCACCTTCTGTCATTACAGCTACTGTGTTTGTTGCAATCATGCTGACCATTGGTGGTCTTGTGAATGGTGGGAGGCGGATAGGCTTTAACTGACCACCAGTGAAGACACCAGACTGGACACAGTACAATATCTGACAACCATCACTAATGGAAGCAAGATGTTGGCTGAACTGAGGTGGACAGCGATTTTGACCCTTTGCAAGAGGGTTTCCAGATTGGCAGCTGAAGAAACCAGCAAAAGGCACAGAGAATCTTGTTCCGGCCTCATAATCATTGCTCAGACAAACCATCATGCCATTAGACAAAAAGTGTTGGGTAAAGTAGTTTGGAGGACAGCTATTAGATTTGGTCAGTGGGTTTTGCATGCCTGGTCCAAATAGACCTCCAAAAAGGTATCCAGAGTACTCAGGGGTCTTCTGAGTTGTGGAACACCAGTAAGTTTCAACTTTTGCACGACGGACACGGTAAGCATCACCACATGTTTGGTCACAACAAGTACGCAACCATAAGAAACCACATTTGCGGCAGTGGCTGTGGCATTCATAATGATTATAACCTCGTTCTACTGTCTCAGAGCGTAATAGGGTGCTGTTGTACTGCTGAGGGCAAGAATAATCACCAGTAGCTGGGTTTTTCTGTGCGGTTTCATCACAGATAGCATTTCCATCTGATGTCAGTGCAGTGCATCGTTGGAAAATGCCACCAAAGCTAAGATTGGTGACTGGACCCTCACAAGATGCATCATCTACATTTGCCTGAAAGTTGAAGTTTTTGGAATCTGGATTTACACAACCTGGAATAGTATTTATTTTATAATATCGCTCTGCAACTTGACGAACTGATGAAGCCATTTTATTTACTGTTCTGTTGGTTCTGGGAGGTCTGGGAATGTTGATGGATTCAGAAAATAGTGAATCAGCAGCCCGGAGCATTCAATAGCCACCAGATTATTGAGCGTACTCTCTTGCCACTTCTGCAGAGCAGTGGTGGACGAAGTACACAAATCAAGTACTTGAGTAAAAGTACAGATACGTATAATAAAATATTACTCCAGTAAAAGTACACCTTTTTCAATTTTACTCGAGTGAAAGTACAAAAGTACTCGATTTTTTATGTACTTAAGTAAAAAAGTACTGATAGATAGATTTATTTTGCAATTGTATATAGGCTACTTAATTAAATTTTATATTAGCACATATTTTTTATAATCCTACTGCTCAAAATACCTGGGATTTTCCCAAAATAACCACTATATGGAGTCAAGATATATTTTTGTTGTTGATATGGACTACGTTGACGAGAGTGATGTAGTAGTGTTCACTATGAAGCTTACACTGCAATGTACCTGAAAACAGATTTGACCATCTGATTTTCACCAGTAAGAACAAAGTGTTTTAAAGCTTGTTGTTTTGCAGAACATCACAGTTATATATGACATGAGAATAAGGCCTGAAGTTAGGAAGAACATTTTAAGGAAAATATAATTATATTTTCATAATGATTTTTTTTCTTCTCAAACCTTGTCTGTGGTGTAAAAACACCCCTGGCCAAATGCCCCCAGAGGGCATCACTTCCCACTTTGATAATTACTGTAGTTACCATGTTCTGAACATCACATCCTTTATTTTCCCCCAGATGTAATCTATCTAGGTGGTTGAATAAAAATATTTGGACTTTATATCTAAAAATTACCTCAACTTAGCACCAGCAAGCATATTAGCTAGACAGTTCGCATCAGCTAACAATATTTACTTATTTTCAGTATGGTTATGATGAATAAACATTCATATCTGTCTACTCGGCTAGTTAATCCAAACAATATAAAAATGTATACTGTTGATAAACAATATAAAAACAGACGTCACATAGGGCTAAATGCGTAGCATTTTAATAAAACTGTTAACGTTACGGCAGCGGGGAATATGAACGCGCATGAATTATTTTATTTAGACTGTTATTTTAATGTCTCTGGGGTTTTTTTTTAACCTAAAATAGAGACACAGATGTTGATTCAATCATTTCAGTGGGCTTAAACAGATCACCCTTTACAGCAGATTTAGTTCACAAACAACTGACAGTTTTGACCTAAATATGATTTTTCGCACTAAACGGTTCATTTGAATCAGTGAGTTGTCGACTCGAGAGCAACTGCAATTGGTTCATTCTAATTCATCAATGAATCGTTTGGTGCGATTTGCGAACCGATTTAAAAGGTTCATTGAAAAGAATCAGTTCGTTCTTATATCAGACACCGCTTCTGCGTCTCGGAGCACGTGATATATTATAAGGAGTAACGATATGTTTTATGAAATGTAGTGAAGTAAAAAGTACGATCTTATGCTTTGGAATGTAGTGAAGTAAAAGTAAAAGTTACTCAAAATAAAACGACTCAAGTAAAGTACAGATACTTGAAAAATGTACTTAAGTACAGTTACTGTCCAACACTGCTTGTACGTAGCATTCTATCAATACAGTTAAAATTTGTTTTCTATTTGCAAATGTGAAGAATCAGTGTGCCATGCTGTTTTAAGACGGAACAATTTCTAGACTTTGTATAATTGCATA